CAAGTTGTTCAATAACAACTGAATTTCCAAAGCAGAGACCCTGTGAGCCGGAGACATGCAGGAACCCTGCTGCGCCGCCCATCACGGGTCTTGCCCACAGCACAGCCCCTCTCCTGGGGCTGAATGTGGCTCATGAAGGACAGAGTGCTGCAGGAACAACTCCGCCCCGAGTGTAAAAGGCCACTCACGGGTCAGAACCGGCCCACGGCCCAAACCTCACCTCCACTCAGGAACCACTTGGCTCTTGCCCGGCCGGGTGGCTCAGTGGTTGAGCGTCAGTTCGATTCCCGGTCAAGGGCACACGCCCGGGTTGTGGGCTCGATCCCTAGTTTGGAGGCAGCCGATCAATGATTCTCTCACCGTTGATATTTCTCTCCCCCCCCCCCTTCCTTCCTCTCTGAAATGAACAACTCCGCCCCGAGTGTAAAAGGCCACTCACGGGTCAGAACCGGCCCACGGCCCAAACCTCACCTCCACTCAGGAACCACTTGGCTCTTGCCCGGCCGGGTGGCTCAGTGGTTGAGCGTCAGTTCGATTCCCGGTCAAGGGCACACGCCCGGGTTGTGGGCTCGATCTCTAGTTTGGAGGCAGCCGATCAATGATTCTCTCTCAGCATTTATGTTCCTCTCCCCCCCCCCTTCCTTCCTCTCTGAAATATATATGTACATTAACAAGAAAAAAGAAAAAAACACTTTTCTCAAGAGAACTGGAGGCCAAGCAGTCACGGTGCCCACACCACGTACACGCTAAGCTCTACGATCAAACGTGGAGGTTTAGTAGCTTTTTAGTCAATTTAAAGTGGATAAAAAAGTTCAATGGCAAAAATAAAAAAAATCTCAGATCATTTAAATTTGACAATTACCCCCACTTTAAATTTTGGTAATAAAAGTAGTTCATTTCATTAGCTTGACTCATTTAAATGGCACATATCGGTAACTCCCAAGATACTGTTAAAAACATTACCTAAAATGATACATATAAACCCACACAGATGAGAACCCTGGAAACATGCTGACCTATCATGCACTTACTAGCCCAGCGGTTCTCAACCTTCTGGCCCTTTCAATACAGTTCCTCATGTTGTGACCCAACCATAAAATTATTTTCGTTGCTACTTCATAACTGTCATGTTGCTACTGCTATGAATCGTCATGTAAATATCTGATATGCAGGATGGTCTCAGGCGACCCCTGTGAAAGGGTCGTTCGACCGCCAAAGGGGTCTCGACCCACAGGTTGAGAACCGCTGTGCTAGATAGCCCTCTTTACACACCTGTTGTATGGTCTCCGTTTTCCCTTATTATTACCGCAGTGTATGGATCTAAAGTCCACGCTGGGGCCCATGGACACCCAAGGTGCCAGGAACAGGCCAGGATATGGCATTTCAAAATCCATAACCCAAATCTTGACTTTAAGTCGGTCATTTCCCCTTTTTACTTCTACAGCCAATGTAACTGGAGTAACCCGCTGAGTATCAAATCTGGGTGAATAATAAAAATCCAGTCCAATCACATTAAGGCTAATGTGATTAAAATTATTCTTCATGTTTTTATACTGACCAGCTTCTGTAATTGTGGTCACTGTAATGCTGTCACACACCCCGCTGGTCACAAAGAATCTCATAGACGGACTAGCTTATAGACGGACTAGCTTTACCTAAGACTCAGGTAGGTCACAGGCCTCTGGCAAAGTGGCACTTCTTTCCGGCCACACGTGCGTGTCCTGCCAACACTGTGCCCACCGCTGGCACCAGTAAGAGGGCATTGTTACAGAGTAAGAAATACAAGTCCCCCCTCCCCGCCCTCCAAAAAAGAACAATGGCGTCGCTTTACGTTTGTTAGGAGTCACAAAAGTTTTTATTTAGGAAAAATATTTCCTTCAATGTTTATTAGATAATGAATTTTATTTAAATAATTTACTTTTACTTTTTACTGTGCAGACCAATCAAAAAGTATGCCTCTTTCCTTTCATAAGCAAACTCTAATTCTGCATGGCAGATAAGAAATTAACACTCTACTTCCTTCTACCTTAAAAATTACCAAGCTTTCCTTGTCATGAATTTGTTATTTCTGCATGGATTGTTGTCATGCTGCTGGTAAAAAAAAAAAAAAAAAAAAAGCCAGTGAAAGATAGGGACACATGGGAAACAAATCAGAAATTATAATACTAGTTTATCATGAAATATATTAAACATTGTTTTGTTTAAATATTAAACAGCAAAATACTCCTATATTAAATAAATAAAACTTGAATTTGTCATGGGGAACCAGAGGCCAATACCACCAAGATGGGATAGAGTGCAAAGGGTAATCCAAAAAAAGAAGAAAAAAAGCAAACAACATTTAATACTGGTATCGTTTTCAGTAACCAATTAAACCAGTGATTCTCAATCCTTTCTGAAGAACGTTTAAGAAATACTGATGAGCAGGTCTCATCCCAGACTAAATCAGAACCAGAACTCGGGCAGCGGTGTTCTAAGAAGGTCCCCAACCGAGTCCCCCCTGGGGTCCGGGCTGAGCGCTCCGGCGGAACCCTACATGCTTCTCGCTATTACAAGTGCCCCCCGAATAGTGAGACGGAGCTTGCTTTTACCGGTGGGACAAGACCAGGGGGGCTCCTGCTAACGGTAGCTTATGGGTAAGTCAGATTCATTAATGGGCTATTTCATGTCCATTAAAATATCTTCCTGTGCCTCTTCTTTCCCTGCAATTCTGTATTTTTAAACTCTACGACTAAGTACAAAGTTCTTTTTTGGATACATCAGTTACACTGAAAATACATCACTGATTCGTGTACGTGAATGCTGACTGAATGCCTACTGCGTGCAAGGCACTGTGGCAGGTGCTGCTGGACGACTGAAGTCATGAGAGAATGAGTAATGATTGGCTATGAGGTGGGTGTGGTGTTTTTTGTTTTGTTTTTTAGAATTAATGGCTACAAATTAATTATATGGACCTAAACAAGGGACTGAGCTGCGGAAAGAAGAAAAAGACAAAGGAAGTAAGTACATACTACGGGTTTGATTTTAAAATACATGGCAGAGCACATTCGTACTTTTCCTAATGTTCCTTACGGTATTTCCGGAAGCCTTCCAATACATATAAGGCAGATGCAAGATAGAAAAATAAGTCCTGTTTAAAGGAGATGTTCCCAATTTTAACCACACTCTATCAAGTAAATTTCACACATAAGTATAAATACTAAAAATCTTTATAGAAAGGTAGTTCATGTCCACTTGTAGTAGTCTCAATGGGTAACCTTAAAATATTACAGACTCTAGACCTTGACTGTTTGACCATGGAGGAAGGTGATGCAATACATAATTTAGTCTGGAAACAGACTTCTATGCTGATAGTCTAATGTGAACAAATTTAAGTTTTCTTTTATTTCCAAGAAGGGAGGATGCAGAGAAGAAAAAGCAAGGGGGAGGAGAATCTGTTCAAACTTCATCGAAACCCTAAAATCCAGTCATTTTAAACATGGACGCTTTTCTCCCGAAAAGCCCAGTGAATTCCATATGGGTAAGTACTGTTCCCATTCCCTGTTGGTATGGATTTTCATGGTTATTTAAAGGATAAATAAGTGCTTTCTCATTTTTATGACAGCGTTCAACTTCAAAATGAGGCTCGGTAATGGCATCTGAACATGAGGGGGAGTTAAATGTTTACAAAAAAAATATGTCAACCTAAGAAAG